TAGAGGGATTAACGTCACCAACGCGCGAGGGTCGGCGGCGGCAGAGGCTATTCAACCTGAATTCACCATTGTATCCATCTCCGAAAAACTGATCGTCAATCGATATTAGAGAGAGGGAAACATGGAAATTGCCATCGGGACGGCGGGTTTGTCGACCGTTGGCACGACGGGTGACTAGTTCCCGGTCACATGATTGGAAATGAGAGACGACATTTCATGATTACCATTACGACAGCATCGCTTGGAAAGACGCCGTAACACAGTGAGAGGAATTGCGTATATTAGTAACCTAGAGGGCAGTGCTGGTTGAAGTCTGAACATTGAAACTTGTCAACTTGCTGGTGGGATCTTCACTAGCAGCCCGGCTGAAGGTACAGATCAACAGATCAAACAAAGAGCACTCAACTCAAGACTCCCCGCGACTGCCCATTCGAAGAGCATTCTATCACCTCTTTCGTTCGTACATGCCAAGATGTCCTATAACCCTGTCAGTGGGACCGCTATCAGCTTAGAGTGAGAACTGAACGCAGCACAAAATTCGACATACACTTCGAGAAATCAGATGGAAATGAAAAGGGCCAGTATTACAACAAAGCCTGAAGGACGAATGGAACAGTGTACGTCAGCTTGCACGCGATCGAAGCGGTGATGACTATGTCTGGTAAGTGTCACCATCGGTGCATTCGTATTAGAAGCGCACATTGCCTCAAATCGCAATGCCGTTCTTTTATGAAAAAGAAGGCGTCAATGAGAGGGAGCGTGATTGGCATGGTGAGGAAAATCGATTTATGGTCGACAGACGCCATAGCCATCCGTGATGCGCGCGAAGCTGCGTAGTAACCGTTCAATGGTTATGGAGGGCGATAAATCAGACTGCAATTAAGCGCACTTGTCACGTGCCAGCTGCCGCCGAACAAACGACGGTGAGTAGTCTACTGAGCGTCAAACCGAGTAGTTAGCGCATGTCAGGTCAGAAATGCGAAGTGTGGTGGTTCGAACAAACTCAGATGACAAAATTATGTGCTTTTCACAATTTCATAATTCATTGCTTATGAAATTTCCCCATCTAACAATCGCAAGGAAAAACTAAGATGCCCTGTTAGGTCTGTTTGTAGTTTTTGATTATGCTTGCTTCATTTTAAAAACAATTTTATTCTCTTAGTGAAAGACGGAAAAGCTTAACACGTAAGGGAAACAAACATAAAAAGAAGTCAAACTCACTTTACTGCGGGATAGAAGACGAACAAATAATTGAAATTTGGCCTCATCAGGTGTAAAATGTTTTTAATGCAAGCAGTACAGTATGAGTAAACTCATGCATGCAGAGAACTCATGCGTACATTCTGATGCTATAAGAATTAAGACATACATCA